TAATCACCGGCCTCTCCCTATCCTGCGGTATGACATTATGGCATTTACCGTATTGTAGCGGGGCCAAAATCAGTGTCACTTCAGTCTTGTCATTCAGGACTCAATTTCGTGCCACAGGGTGATATCATGGAGTGATACATTCATTGTGACATTGTGACGGGACTGTTCTATCGTGCTTGCAATAATCGAGATAATTATCAAAAGTGCCGCTGTTATCAGATTCCTTGGCCGTGCGCTGGCCCAGCTCAGTTATTTTCATTTGGATAATTTGTTCAGAGGTGAATGTACTGGCAAGTAGTCCGCCTAACGTTAGCGAGATTCAGCGGTGAAATCTGGATTGGCTCCTGCCTAGACCAGCCAAGCCTCCTGTGCTCGGGTTACCGCAAAAACCTTAGAAGCTTATATAGGCTCCATCGCTCATTGAACCACTGCGATTATCAGTGACACAGTGAAACGTGTGCTTTATCGTAAGGTCAGGTGAATCAACGGCGAAGTTCGCCCCCTAAGCTCTTTACTTTCACCGGCCTTATCTTAGCTGCAGTATGACTACGTTGTTGCTTTTTCGCTTGGGATTCTGGTTACGAGTTCTAGGTGCTAGTGACCTTGTAGGGGCAAATTTAAGGAAATGCTTGAAACTGAGAATAAGCACAACAAACTCAACAACAATAGTAAGGACAGAATTTCCGTGCTTGAGATTTAACCAACCAATGCTTTGATGGTGATAATTTTGTACAAGGGATCCTGACTCCTTCAAATGCCCCTTTAGGGATAGTGGCTTTCAATGGTGTAATTGTTAGGACACGTTATGGAAATCGCAGCAGTAAGTTCAGAGATTTATCATTCTTGCTCAGTGAATCTCGTTGAAGTGATTCACCAGGCCTTCAGACTAGCCACGGTATGACATTATGGAACGTACCGTGTTTCCATGAGGCCAACATCAAAATCACTCCATTCGGCGTCATTCATGTCTCATTTATGGCACAGGGTGATTCTTGGTGGAGTAGAACATTTATTGCGACATTCTTAGTCTAATAAGTAAAATATAATTCAATTTGAAGGTATTCTGGTTAGCATCTGATCTTCTTCTTGTGGCATCATTTTCACGCATGCTGGGTCGGAGGAGAGGTGTTAAGGTGCAGTTCGGCTTGGTGGGGTCGTTCTGCTGGTTCTCATCAATCGCTGCCAGTGCCTCCTGTGGAGACCTGTCAACTCCTGCAACGGTATGCAGAAGCATGAGCTTCGCTCACTCTTGGACAAGAGTCCACAGTTCCGACAGGGTAATTCCGGGCGCCAGCCCTGCACGACGTCTGGACGTTTCTTTTTCCTTCTATACGATTCATGGAAATTCCGCTACTTCTCGTCCGCAAGAGAGTGTCTTGAGAGAGAGTGACCGTTAGAAATCTGCCTCTGAGATCTTGCTCATTTGAATTCTATTCCTCTTTGTTCCTAAACTGCTGGACTGTACTGCTGTGTCAGTTGGCACACTCGATAAGGAAACAAGGCCGAAACCAGTTTTAAATGGACAAGTAGGGCTGTGTAATGTGAAAGTGTGAACATTTCCGCCTTGAAATTCTTTTTGAAACTCCATTTGCTCTTCGTTATAATCCTAGAGGAGTGCTGCTTCCAAAGTTCAAAGGTCACAGGTTGGTACCGCTAAGTGAATCTCGATGAACTGATTCAATCGGCCTCTAGCAGCTGCGGTATGACATAATGGACGTACTGTAAGTTATGAGGCCGAAAATCAACACCATTTCAAGTTAGGTCATCCAGGACTTATCATTGTCGGAGGGTGACATGCGCTGGAATGGTACATTTATAAGTATATCTGTGCGGTCGTTTTCGCCGGGCGTGTCAAGGAGGCCGTCAGGTTTGGCGCGACGTTAACCCTTTCTCCACCAGTTGTTGAAACGGGCAAGCGACAGCAGTTGGTGGAAAGCAGGCTAGTGTCACGCTAAACAAAGCTTTTCTAAAGACCCCACCTCTGCCACGAAAGAGACCATACATAATTGTTTCTTACTTACATAAACTTGTGATAAAGTGGACCGCTGTAGATGCGTGAGAGCGATGGCAACTTGGCGAGAGGGGATAAACGAGTTTGAAGTTCTGTTTCTTTGGATGCATTCTTCCTCTTTACTAATACTCCCTATCCTTACTTGTCTCTGTTCTTATTCAAGCGTGGTGCTTGTTGTAGGCGTTACGTGGCGTTGTTAGCGCACTGGGGCACGGACTCTCTTTTATTGGTCCTTGGGAAAAGCAACCGATCACAGTCGTTCCTTGCACGCCATGCTCTCTTTCTCAGTCAAGAACATCCTGACTGGTTTGTATGTTATTAGTGACTTTTACCTGGTTAATTAGGTACGGCAGATAAAAAGAGACTTTCCGCTTTGACAAGTGCTTTTGAAATGAGCCGTGCATTTGACTTTTGAAATGTTGAGGAATAATTTCATAGCTGTTCTTCGTGAAGCTTGATCCTCGTTGCGAATGGCAGAACGTACTGGCTCTTAATCGAGTTTACGTGATTCATAAAGTTTTGTGGCACAGTTCGGCTTGATGGGGACATCGAATTGTACGCAGCTAAGCTTATACAGGGCACCTTGTGGAAACCTGTAAATTCCTGTAACCAAACGGCTCACTTTTACCATTCCGCAGTTTTACAAGAGTTTGCAGGTCTCACCTGTTATTGAGAAGGTACTAACAAAACGAAGTAGTGAAAGTGCAAAATGTCCCCTCCAAGCCGACGGCGTCGTTTTTTGAAGCTTCATCTAATGAGTCAATTTCAGCTTCGATCTTGGATCAGCCACCTCGCCGTGTGCCTACTACAAAGCGCTTCATGAGGTGCGCGCCTTGTTCTCGTTCGCCGCTCAAATCGGTCTTGAACTTGACACTGTGAACCTCGGCGGTGGATTCCCTGCCAGTAAAGCGGACAAAGAACAACGCTTCCCTGAGGTATGTCCGGATCTTATTATAGTGCTATTTAAACCATTTTAATGTAGTGTAGGAACTTTCAAATAGGCAAATTCAGGCTCTGAAACTGAGAGTTGTAAGTATGAGCATTTCTGGTTTTCAGATGTGCGATGTGATCAATGCCGGACTCGACCAGCTGTTTTCATGCAGGGAGTTTTCGAATCTGAAAGTGATTGCAACTCCTGGAAGGTTGGTTGCTTCCAGTAGCCATGGATAGGGACTAGAATGGGGTCAGGATAAATCAGCGTGCGAATAACTGAAAGAAAACTGGAATGATAAAGCAAATCTATCAATCCTTGAGCTGTTAATTATTGTGAAAAAAGCGCACCACTGAGAGCTCTAAGTTTTTGTGTAGCGCTCTGGCCCTCAAGACAGCATACGGTTTCGACGTCATAAGTATACCGTATCATATTAAGGCCTATATCAAAGCCAGTCTAAGATCACTCTCACTCAGGACATTCAGTGCGTAGGGTGAGTCAATGGGCTGGCACAGTTAAGGTAGCGAGATTAGGGTAGCGACTAGTTCTTCTCTGTCAAGCGCTGGCTTGGATTTTCAGACGTCAAAAGAAATTAATGTAGGGCGTAAACTTGTCAAGGTTTCCTATTGAGAAGTAGTGCGCAGGCGTAATGCACTTCGCATGACGCGCGTTTTAAAAGCGCTGTGAGCGCGATGCGACGCGCCTAACGCGCTCGCAGTCCTATGAATACTGGTTGCACTATAAGCCTTGTCTTGGTACCAGTTGCAGGCGGAGATCAATCGCCGCCTAACCAGCCTGCGTTCTGAAAATTGTTGTATAACACAACGTAAGGAGGTACATACCTTCACACAATCTAGTTCTCATCATTGCGGACCGTGTCAGCCAGTATGAGTGTGCACACTGTTGAAGCCGTTCTCAGCCTTTTTGTTGAAACGCGTATGCGACAAAAGTGGTAGAAAACGAGTAATACGGAGGATATAATACAGTAATGTCACTTGCCCGCTTCAACAACTGGTGCAGAACGACTTTGGCCCGCGCCAAACGCAGCCGCACTGAACCGCCCCGACAGTACGTAATGATGAGGACTGTATACTCTCCGAGAGCCCTAGCGGTCAGTGCCGATCAATACCAGACTGCACGGGAGAACAGGAGAGTGCGTACTCTCCTGTTCTCCCGTGCTCTCCCAATGCACAAGCTGCCGGCGCCGATCGATTCTCGATAGCTGTGGAGGGCTGTTGCAATTGTGGCGCATCAACGCGCGTCATCGCGAAGTCCGAACGCTCCTTACTTGAATTAGTCTCACTGTAACCCTCACCGAGCGCTGAGTGTTCGCTGACATAATTTCCCTGTGCTCATTTTCGTTACCAGTGCTCAGCTTTTCAAGTTACGAATTATCAGCTAATCCTAATTCTGCTAAATAGGAAAGTTTCTAATTGGGATTAGGGACTGTCTTTGTTATCCAACGGTCTTATTTTTTCTGGAATTTCAGATATTTCGCTGCAGCTGCATTTGTGCTTTGCACAAATGTCATTGGTAAACAAGCGCTGGAAGCACGTCACATCACGAAAGACGGTGAGTAGTTTTTTTAGATTTTGGAAGTCTTCCCTCGTTTACTACTTTCACGGTTTCTTAGGCCCGTCTAGAGGGGGGGGGGGCATTTAGCGCTCTTGCTACTTCCCCGACGACGTGTCAAGCCAGCGAGTGGAGACCTGTAAAATCTGGTGAAGCCACAA